TATACCAAAACTAACCATATTATCGATTGTTAATATCTTTTAAAAATATAAAATTAAAAAAGAACTAAGATATTTAAATCATTGATAACAAAAATTTTCAATGTGAAAAATTTAATAAGTTTATAATTTATAAATGTTCTTGAAAATTTATTGAAAATTTTGAAATTAAAATATTTATGTAATCTTATATGGTATATAACTAAGATATTTAAATCATTGATAACAAAAATTTTCAATGTGAGAAATTTAATAAGTTTATAATTTATAAATGTTCTTGAAAATTTATTGAAAATTTTGAAATTAAAATATTTATGTGATCTTATATGGTATATAGTTTAATCTGTATATATATTTGTTTTATTATTGAATGATACTTACTTATATGGTTTTAAAATCATGTATATCTTTTTATAATAAAAATGTCAAACTATTGATCATTAATTTTTAACATAATAATTTTAATAGTTTAGTTATTTATTCTCGTTTTTAAAAATTCAAAATATAACTTATACGAAAAAATCGAAAGTTTAACATAAATTCCCAAGTTAACATATTAAGTTTTACATTTTACATATACACTTGCCTTTACCATTAAGTATGTACTTGGTCACAAAGTAATTTCCNNNTTATTATAGTTAATATATGCAAATCGTTATCAAATCGTATATTTTCCTTTTCTTCCATTACATGCGTGCGATATATATAAATATATAAACTATGTTACATGCGTTATATGCGTCTCTAATTATTTTTCCCTAGCAAATTTCAATTGAACCTAAAGCTGCCACGTCAGTTTAATTGGTATGCTAATTGATTGACAACTAAACAAGGTTACTTTTTAATTAATACAAACTTGAGGTTACATCTTTTCAAATGTTTCTCAATTAATATATAGGGGATGAAGTCGTAAAGTTATTAAAATCATAGTTTATAATTTTAGATCTAAATTAAAATTAAGTTTTTAGTTACGTAAAAACTTACATAACCATATAATTTACTAGTTTAGTTATGTACACATTAGATTTATCATGAAAATTAATCAATCTGAACTTGATGTAAGCTCATAATTCTGATCATGATGTTAGTGTGTCACACAGACAGGAGGTTGTGTTACACATAATATAACTCAAGAGTGTTTGAGTATAAGACTGATGTACCACACAAAATAGAGAGTGTGTTACACATGGAGTGAAATACAAACAAACCTCCTAAAATTTTGGATCATTATCTTCTAAAACGACGTCTTGTATTTCGCTCCATATGTAACACACTCTCTACTTTGTGTGACATATCAGCCTTACGCTCAAACACTCTTAAGCTATCTTGTGTGTAACACAATCTTCTGTCTGTGTGACACACCAATCATCATGCTCAGAATCCTGAGCTTACATTCTCCCCCATTTTATCTTAATGTGTCACCTCAAGCACATGTCACTAAACATGCACACCAAAATACCAAAACATTGAAGCATTCGCATAGAGACAACCAGAATGAAACATAAACCAAAAGCATTCATTGATAAAGCCTAGATCATCCAGAGTTACACAACGCTTAGTCCTAGATAGTGAAACAGAAACAAAGAACTGCAAAGTCACTTATATCTAGAAATCCTATTTCTCCTCCTCATCATCGCTACCAATGATATGCACTGGCTCCTCTCCAACATATTCTCCCCCTGCTTGAGTGCACCATTAGATAAAACAATTTTGTGAGTTAAACTAAAGGTTAAGAGAATGGATCACTTACTTCGACTGCAGAGCTGGATCGCACGGAGATCATTGACGACCTTTTGGAGATCGACAACCAGATTAGGTCGTTTGGTAACTCCCCCTATTCCTCTGCCAGCTTTACCGTCTTTGACTAGAGCAGTGGGATGACCTGTAAGTTCTTCATCTAATTCACGACGAGGGACAATCCGCTGAAAGTGCAAGAGCTGATGGATGAGTGAAGCAAAACTGATTCTCCTCTTAGTGTCATCAGCAGAATGTGACATATCCATGAGCTGTTCATACACCAGAATGCCAAAGTCAGCTCTCTTGTTGTGATGGAGAGCATAGAGAAACCTTTGCCAATCCGGATGCATGCGTGTGTAATTCATTGTTGACATCCAATTGGTACAGCAGAGCTTTTACAACACCTGATTATCAGCTGTGAGAAGTTTCGAGCACATTCCCTCCCACCTTTGGTGATGTCCCTCAGTGAGAAAGGTAACCACAGTGTCCAGGTTCTCCGAGTACATGTCATAGGAATGATCACCTGGACTGAGAACGCACATTAGATCGATGATGCTAGGTGACACTTCATACATAGCTCCACGAACATAGACAACAACACCACCATGAATGGTCTTTGCATCTGCAAGATTCGCCATAAACTCCCAAATCAGATCGGGCACATAGGGTTCGGCATCTATCACTGTGTAAATCATTCCTGAGTGAACCACCACTTCTTTCACAGCATGTAGCTTCTCAACATCGAGAGGGATAAAGTGCGGATCGATGAACTTCTTGTCCGAGAACTTCAAGTATCTCTCATACGCAGCTTCTGTCGCAAACCGAGAGGTGTAAGGATCAGCTGGAAGTTCGAACCACTCAGGGTTGTTTACCAAAGTCTCCTCAAAAGTCTGACGCCCTTCCTCGTATCTTGGTTCTTTGGGAGGGAAGGAGATTTTTTCTCTCGATCGATGCCTACTTGATTCATCGGCTTCAGGTCGAGATCTCTTCTTCGGAGTGCCAGAGCTCTGATTTGAGGAAGGAGTTTGTGGAGAGGCGGAGGTGTCTTATCGGGAGTGAGTTCGTTGATGCATGTTGAGAGAGATGAAGATAGAGAGGGAGTACGGCGACAATTTTACCTAAGATGAAGCAAAAGACAACAAAAAAGAACAATTCCTTTTGCAAGACCCATTAGTGCACAAATGACTTTGAAAGACCAAAAGTCAACTTAATAAGCCCATTAGTCCTTTTAATCAAGTGTCTTTTAATCATGTTAGCTCCGGTGAATAACACTCTAAGAAAGACACATTTTTCAGGTCAATGAGATCTCCTGATCTTAATCAAACATGCCTATTCTAAGAACCAAATTTATTAAAGCACTAAAACTGAAAAATAATCTATTTGCACGCTCTTAACTACTGTTCCAACAAGATTGCATGTTCACATCTACTCTAACATATGTCTAGGTAACCATAAAAAAATCGAATAGAAATCAATATAGTAACTTCAATCTGTAGCTATTTCGTAGCTGTCACAAATGGATTCATCTAGTAAGAAGATCAAGCTCCCATCTCACAAGTTAACCACAATTACGCTTCTGAAACCACTAGTCATGTCTATCAATGTCCACTTCTGCAACTTCAGTGTATCTTTTCATCATTCATTTTTTTTATAAACATCAGAAACATATTTCAGTTCCTGCCTGATCAAAACAGTGATCACCACAGACTTAGAGTATGGTAATACCCTAATCCACGGCGAGTGCTGATCACTTCAGGCCTTTGTATGAGTTTTCTTCGTCTTCTTGAATTCAATCATTCAGAGACAAAAGTCTCTGCCTAATCAAAGCAGTGATCGTCACCAAAAGACAAAGTGTTGTAGCACCCTGATTCAGAACGAGTACTCATCATTTTAGGCCTTTCTCCTCCTGCGAAAACATGAGTTAATTGTGTAACACACATTATTGGATGTGTTACACATGACACGACTAATGTTTTCTCCATCCACTCCAGACAGTGATCCGCCATTAGTTTCAAAATGTGTTTTCATCATGATCCAAAGTGAGTGTCCTTCACTATGAGACATTGTGATTGTGACAACTTATAAGACAGTTTCATGATTTCAACTAGACAAACTGTTACTATAAGGTTTTGAGGGAGAAGGTACCTTTTGACACATGAAATTTCAAAATGAACTTACCTTCTTGTCAGAACAGCTTTCTTCATTGCTGAGGATCAATGATTCCAAGAGCTTTTCGGAGACCCAAAAAGCTATTAAAATCAAGAGGCTTTGTGAAAATATCAGCAAGTTAATTCTCAAAAGAAACATGTTTAATGACCACAAGTTTTAACTCAACCAACTCACGTACAAATTGGTGTCTAAGATCAACATGCTTAAACGAGAGTGTTACACATGATTTTTAGACATATTTATTGCACTCATGTTATCATAGTGGACTAATAGAGGGTCAGAATTAGTACCATAGTCCACCAGCATTTGTCTCATCCAGAGAAGTTGAGTGCAGGAACTCCCTAAGGCAATGTACTCAGCCTCAGCTGTTGAAAGAGAAACACAGTTTTGCTTCTTGATGTGCCAAGACACCATGTTGTTACCGAGAAAGAAACAACCACCAGAAGTGCTTCTCTGATCATCAACGCAACCTGCCCAATCTGCATCACAATATCCTGCAAGGTTACATTAGTTTCAAAAGTGTAATGGAGCCCAAAATCTAGTGTCCCTTTTACATATTTGATGATACATTTTACAGCTTTTAGATGTGACTCTTTAGGTGCTGCCTGGTATCGAGCACAAATTCCGACACTTAGACACAAGTCTGGTCGACTGGCGGAGAGATAGAGAAGACTACCTATCATTGCTCTGTAGAGTTTCTCCTCTACCTTTTGTCCTGCCTCATCACGCGAGAGCTTGGTTGTGGTGCTCATAGGGGTCCTAGCAGTCTTGCTGGTTTGCATCCCAAATCTTTTCACCAGATTCTTAGCATAGGCGCTTTGTGAGACAAATATTCCATCCTCCCTTTGTCTTATCTGTAGACTAAGAAAGTAGTTGAGCTCTCCCATCATACTCATCTCAAATTCTCTTGTCATAGTCTTCACAAACTCATCTACCAAAGTAGAGAGTGTGTTACACATGGAGCGAAATACAAGGAAACCGTTTTAGAAGATAATGACCCAAGATTCTAGGAGGTTTGTTAGGCAACAAACGAGAAGATATTGGGAGGATTTTTACTTATCCCAATAGGATACGCTTTAGTATATATTGGTGATATAGTTCATTAGCTAGGTTACGGATTTTGGGATTATTAATGTTATCGAGCTTCAGTGTTCTAAGCTGCAATTCTATGTTAGCAAGTGGTGAGGTCTATCTCGACCACTGTGCTTTGGGTAGATTAAGAATTGGTCCGTTTCAAGTTAAGCTGTGACGTTGAGTAAATCGGATTAAATAGATTTAGTGAGATTGTTTAAGTGATTCTTAATAAAGAAAGTTAGTTTTTTTGGATTTGCTCAAGTTGTTTTATTGTGGTATCCATACGAATTTTCACTTGAGCAAACAGAAACATGAACATAAGTAGTACATAATCCTCGACTTCTTCTACACGTCTTTGAAATTACGTTGTAATGTATGTACTTAGCTCCGAAGTAGCAGCACCTACGAAGAAACATCTCAAAGTCTCCAAGAAATGGTGACAAGTCACCTCTTGATCGGCTTAAAACCAAATAAAAGTCAATGGCATTGGACCATCTAGTCAACGTTGAAGAAGTCATGTTGACAAGTCTGGAACAAGCAAAAGATCTAATATTGACAAGTCTGGAACAAGCAAAAGATCTAATATTTTACTCGTTTTTCTTTCTTATAAAATCCTTTGCTTTCTTCCTCTGATCTTGAAACACATTCTAAACAAACACAAACAAAAACAAGAACACAAAAATACGTTTTGCTCAAAAAGACTTGTGAATCAAGTTTTGTGGTGATCAGTGAATACTTATATATGTCTATGGAGAAGAAACATCTTAGCATCAACTCTTTGAGTTATCATTCCACAGAAGACGAAGAAAGCAAAGAAGACAACAATTGCAAGAACAGTCTCCTCTTCGGATTGTTTGATGATTCTGAATCAACGAGACTAAGAAGTGGGAGCATGAAGAGACAATACAGCGACATTGGAGATCTCTACCACAAACTTTTTAAAGAACATCATGATGATCTTGATGACGAGGGTTCGAGGATGGACATGAGAGTCTTGACAGTAGTTGAGTATATGAGAGAGCTTTACGTTGAACAACTTCAACTGCTTAAGAAGATGTTTCCAGGTGGAGCAAAAGACAAGTTTCTTGGGTTCTTCAACAAAATCGGAGACGCTGTGTCCCAATTCAAACAAGATTCTCGTCCTCCTCCTACAAAGTCAATGACTATGCAGAGGAGTCTCAGCGCTGGCTCGCCACGAGTCACCTTGAGAGGTCTCAATCTTGGCCCAGCAGACTTGAGGGATGAAAGGTTTAAAGTTACTACGATTGACCCAGGAGGTGGTGGAGCTGGGGGAGGAGGTAAAGGTGGCTCGGCAGCTGGTCAAGGCCAGACCAAGAAGTAGTCAGGATTCGTGACATGTGGCTATGGATGAACAAATCTTATGACATCTCAGGGTGTTGCATTACACGGAACGTTACATTTTGCTAAATGGAATGATATGTGATGCGTGTTTTATAAGTTTGAGTTCAATTTAAAAGACTTTTGAGTCTTGGTGATTTTTAGTTATATATGTTACTAGCATTTAAACTCAATGCTAAGAACAATCAATTCATCAAGTAAATCACCAGTTATAAGAAAAAACATCAAATTTTATCGTTCGCGGGTACAACAACATTTTCCAGTGAGGTATGGAGGAGCACACGTTCCATAACTGTAACCTTTCCTTACACAGTCATGAAGACATTCACGAACTCTGTACTTTCCCGGCACACATTGAGCAATGCAATTTGGTGGCTCTGCACATATACAACCCACAATATATTAGTATATACTATACCATGTCCAAAATAGTTAAAAAAAAAAAGAAATCTTAAAAAACAATATTAGGACTGAAACAGATTGATATTTCAGAGTATTTAGATTCACAGATATTTGTAATAAGCATCTACCTGATGCGGCCAAAGCGTTATAGTTAGACATAAAAATTGACAATGTTATCACAAGACAAAAAATCACAGAGGAGGTTTTTGAGATAGACATTATTATATTTCTTTTAGCTTTTGTTTCTTTGGAGAGGAAAATATGTTCTATGATTTATAACTCTTCAGGACAAGTTCTATTTATACAAATTTATGTAAGAGAGTTCAGTTTAATACCCTCTTTATTTTGACTATAAATGAAAATTTTGTATTTGTTGATATTATACCTTTTTGATCAAAAATCTACTAGAAAAATTTAGCAAAAAAAGAATCAAGAGATATGTTTTTATATTTGCATGTGAATGAAGCCAAAACTTGGAACTGAGACGAATTTGCCAATATCACTACAAGGAAAAAAAATCATATAAGTATTGTGATATTCATTTTCATTTTCTTCTAACTTTTAAATATATTGTGAAGCAGAAGAACTCTATATTTTTCTAAATTTTACGAAAAGCTTTATTTATACAACTTTTTGTCTAAAACAAATTTCAGTCCGGTGATTCATTTTCTTTACAATAAATAGGTCTCAATATATTTTTATATCTTTCATATTTTAGGTGTGGGAGAAAATCTCAATGAATCTTCTATATTATCTGATAAAATTATTTTCATGGTAAGAAAATATTACACAATATATATTTGTATATCGGTACATGGGTATGATTTTCTATTATTGGGTGCAAAATCTATAATATACAATGCATACAGTTAAACTAAGAATCTTACAGCTAATATCATTCAATTTCTTTGTTGTAGTTATATATGGTACTAGTTGGGTTCTGTATTATGCTGTTGTAGTATACATAGAAGTATTAGATTCATGCAAACAAACGAACTACTAATTTGGCTGCTTTACACATCACATTACCTCATATATTTACAACATGGCTTACATGTAATAATTTGACAAGAGTTTGTGTCTTCAGTGCATATTCCCTCTCTGTGCAGCAACAGCAAACACCAATAGAATCGGAGAAGCAAGAAGAATCACATAAAGAAGTGTCTCATTTATTCCCATTGCATCTCCTTCATCCGCCTTGGTTTTGTAATCAACTCTGTCTTTTTTAACAAAGGCATCAAAGTAATTATCATACCCCATGTTTATCTGCATGAAGCTCGAACCCTGAACCTTCAACATCTCCATTGCCTACAAAAAAAGCAAACAAGAGAAAGAATTGAATGGCTCTTGTCCAATCTTAGTAAGATATAAAACACAACTCATGCTTTTGTGGGTGTTTGAGTTACCTGAAAACTGAACATAAACTGCCTAGCTTTCTTGCTCACTCTCGGGTTTGGGTGAGATAAAAGCTTCTCATACATGCCTCTTGCCTTATCTGCCCTGTCAATCACACTCCAAAGTAATGTATTTAGCCCACAACAGACCATAAAGTCCAATACTCAACATCATCAATAAAGCATGCTGCTTACTTCCGAAGTGAATCCTGACAAATGGACCACTGCAAAGCTGCTAATCCATGAAGCTCGCTCTGCACAACTAAACTCATAATTAGTTAGGGTCATATTTATTTGTATGGGCCCACATAACAACTTAAAATAACATCATTTTCTGAAGAAAACTACTCTTTTAGTAGATATAATTGGATCAATGGATTAAGATGTTGATGGAGTAACACATACTAATCAGGTTCTTAATATGTGATTATATAAGATGTTGGCTGGCTGTTATATAAGATTGTGGATTTTTTTCTCCACATATATGCTGATGAGTAGATAATAAAGAAGTCTCCTGCGGTCAAGATGAGCAGACTAATGCATATGAGATGAAATTACAAACTAGGTTTGGAGAAATCACCTTAAAGACTATTTTCTCCATGACCTTTTCATAGTATGGCAGAGCTTCTTTGAGTCTCCCTGAATCCATAAGCGCGTTGCCCTTTTCTAGTGCCTGTTATAATTAAGTGTCAAAATCAAGGGAAGAAGCAGATGATAAGCACAATGGTTATAACCACCTTGAAGCACGAATAGAAGCAGAAGATGTATGTAGACAAAAGCAAAGAACATCTTCTAGTTTTTCTCCAGTCAAATTAATTTTTCAGTTCTCTAGAAATGTGGCAACGTGCAAAGCTGATATGAAAATAGGAGAATCTGCTTGAGTAAACATGAGTCCCTATTACAGTTTCAGCTGAATCTATTTATAATTTAAAAACAGGATCCAATTTAGAATATATAGCTTGCAGCATTCTCAATGATAGCTTGCATCATTCTCAATGAGAGCAAAAGTATTATATCTTTCAAAACTGGCTTCAGCATCAGGTCTGTCATCAAAAAGGGAAAAACAAAAAAATGTCATGGGAGTACCTCCTCACACTCAAGTTTGAGTTTGGGATCAATATTCAGTCCAATTGATTCCTTGTAGGCAGTGAGCAATTGTTTTGTCCGTTCTTCTCTTGCAGTCCTCTCTTCAGCAGTTTCAATTGAATCTCCTGGTTGGAGTGTCCTTCCACCACCAAACTTTAAACACGAGAAGTATATTAGCTCATTCATCATACAAAGTCATGCGGCCGAAAACTGGCCTCCCACGTTCATGAGCATGAATGGATCTAGTTGTTCAAAAACGTAGTGTTCTAGGATATCTAGCTAGGGGATATTAATCTAGCAGAGTTGACAGAACTTTACACACCATCACAAAGAGATGAATTATTCAATAACTCAAAGAACTATCTTCAGAATGGTAAGAAAATCTTCTTATACTAGTGCTCTAACATACAATGTACTTGTTTCTATAAGTAACTATACCGACAATTCATTTTTGGTTGCATCATATATACTTGACAGTAAGCTACTAACACAGGATCTCTAAAGACCGCATTGGACAAGCAACACCTATGGGAATAATCACATACCGTTTTAGAGATGTTACTTGGTCTTGGGAAAACACCCCATGTTGAAACCTTGGGCTTATATACATCAGAGTTTTCATTTCCTTCTTGATCAATCTCCTTTTCTGTCTTGTCAAATCTTGTTTTGTCACCAACTATAAACTCCACCTCAGGTAAGTCTCCTCCAGGAAAATAGTCCACAACAGGAACAAGTCCCGCTGGAATCCCCCTTGTGCTCTTCTTATCAGCGAATCCAAGCCCAACGAAATCAATGCTGGAGACTTTCAACTCTTTCTTCTTACCGTTATCATCTTCATCAACCTTGTTTGATGATCTAACAGAACTTTTCTCTGTACTACCTGAAACAAGAAGCAAGATCTTGAGATCATGTTTTTGATTGAGTTTGCATATATTATCATGTCAAAGATAAAAACATTAACATTGCACATGTTGACCAGCCTCAACAAGCACATAAATGCCTAACATACAGAACAATACAATCAAACCTATCCATGCATATGCTATGCTTAATTTCACTATAGCCTATTGTAAAAACTGCATTGATATGCTCAAACAAAGACAAAATAACACAACAACAGTTCCAAAGATTGTCTATAAAGATATGGTTTTTACTGAACTGGGTTTAGCCTCCTGGACAACATCATCTCCAAGCTCTTTCTGCTTCTTATACTCATCAGCCTTTTGCTTAGAAAGCTTCACTGGGAGCGGCACTTCGTCTTCAGAAGCATTTCTCTCAGGGGTTTTTTGCTCTGCTTTCGATTTCTTATAGGCTTCGGCTTTCTTTAACGCAAGCTTCACGAGATCCACGGCAATCTCAGTCTCCGGAGAGCTGTCTGGAGAAGAAGAGTTTGGTGTGGGAGAAGATTTGTTACGGAAAAGAAAGAGTTTGAAGGGTCTTGGTTGTGGAGATGGAGAGAGGAAGAAAGTGGGAGGTTCGGAGAGTGGAGAAGAGAGCCAAGAATGGTTGAAAGAAGCCATGGATACGTTGGAGAGGAGAGATGGTTAGCCATTTTTCTTAGGAGTTGTGTATCATCACTGAGTCGTGGTTGCAAGATGACCACCCATTGATTGTTAAGATAACCTGCTCTGTTAAGTTTACCAAAAAAAAAAAAACCTTGCTCTGTTAATGATAATAAAACAAAAAAAGTAACGTCTTTAACGGCCAATAGATGACGCGACGACGTTTTGGAAGATTTTTCAAAAGCACCACCAACACTTGGTATAAATAAGGTACGTTTCAAACCTTATCAACCTTATACAGTAAAACCTCTATAAATTAATAATGTTGGGACTTTGAAATTTTATTAATTTATAGAGATATTAATTTACAAAAGTTTCCTTATTTAGATTTTTTTTTCCATTTTTATTTTTAAAATAAAAAATTCTTTGATTTTAACGTATGTATCGTATTTAAATTTTAGAATTTTGACTTTTATATTCTTTTATTATCTTATTTAGTGTATATCTTTATGTTTCATAGAATTGTTACGTGGTTTCGATATAATTTGACTAAATATTATCAAAATATAATGAAATGTTAAAAAAATAAAAGTATTTTTACTGTAAATATAAATCCAACAATATATTGGTAGATTGTATTATATAAAATTATTTATAGATAGATTATTAATTTATGATTTTAATGGGACTGTATATTTACATGGCAGTTTTTAAAATATTATTATCTTATTATTTTATCGATTTGTGTCATATTTTACACCGGCCCAAGTTGGGACCGGTAAAATTTATTAATTTATAGAGATTATTAATTTATCGAGTACTAATTTATAGATGTTCTATTGTACTAGATAATCGAACACTATGGTTGTGCTTAGTAAATTATAAACAGCTATGATTTGGTGGAGACAGTGATAGAAGTGATTGTCATGAGGGAGAATGAAAAACCAATATGCTAGTAATTGCTGCAACAAGTATAGAACATGGCCAATTATTTAACATAGTGGAAGAGTTAGCAGATAGAATGGAAAAATTTGATGAGAGATCAAACTTGGTGTTGGTGGTGGAATACTCCCCTCTGTAAAGGCCTACTGAATAATGGGCCCGGTCCACACGAACTCCGGCCCGACGAACTAATCGACGCGTAATCGAGCTTAACTCGGATAATTCCCGTAATTAGCCGAATTAAGGACGTTTAAGCGGAATGCTCACCCTCGCGGGCTGATCGAGGCCCAGTTGGTAAAAGGCCTCTGAACCTGCGACCAGTTCGCTAGGTCAAGGCGTCATCGCTATAAGAAGGAAAGAGGAGGTAACGAGGAAGGGATCCGAAACCACTCTCACTCATAAGGCGGCTAGAATTGGAGTTTTCACTCTTGTACTTTCTTTCCGACTTGTACGGCACGGCGGAGCTCCCCGCGAGACTCCGCCTCGCCTCTCATTTCCTCATTTGTAACCGAACTCCCTCTTTAATAAAACTTATACTTCGACTCTAAATAGTAAGAAAACGCCTTTGAAATAATCCACAGACGAGTCCAGTCACTCAATCACTGAACAGACCGAACTCGGTTCAAACACTTGGTCTCTTGTCAAACAGTCAAAACAAAAAGTCGACAACAAACTCAACATGCACATTCTTGTTGTTGTTGTTTGTCTTTTAACCTAAATCTTCTTGTCCTTCAATTCAGTGAAGGGAGCATGAGTTCACAAACATTACAACAATTACGACACGTTCTATTTTTTTTTCTACTTCATTCACTCGTTCAAGTCATCTTCTCGAATTGGTTGGTTTCTTACGGCTAGGCCACTCCATCCATGCTACATAATGCGTTAAACATAACTACTTACAACAATGCACACTAAATATTCAAATAACAGTTATGAAAAAACTTACCGCCATACAGACAACGCTGACTGTAGAAGGAACAGCTACGAGAGGGCTTGTGAAACGCTTTTGTGCAAGCAAGAACTCTAGAGCTGAATACTGCGGTTTGCAAATAAATATGATGTTTCTTTATATGAAAACGAGCCTAACAAATCTGAGAGACTAGCTTACTTGCACTCCACATTCTATAGAAATGGTACGGGAAGTGGACTCGCCGAAAGAGAACTTTGAAATCCAATAGCCAATAGCAAAGGCTGCAGCGTGGAGGAATGTCACCGTGAGTATAAATGAGTTCCTTGTGTTTTCGACGCCTCTGAAACTTGTCCAATCTTTCATAAGAGCAAAATTTAATAGTCAATATTAGAGGTGGTACTGATCTAATTCTCGATGTAAATTTAGGAAAAAAAAAATCTTTGGCTAGAATTGTCACACAATGCATAAAAGGATTTTCCCTAAAGAACCATAGGCACATTAATTGTCTGTCAAAATGTTGTGCTTGAGTTAGTATTTGTAGCCCACTATTAAAGTGTTGGGTTATTGTTACCTTGATTCGTAATTTGTTTAGTTGTAGTATGTACACGTTTGTTTAATCTCAAACTTTTTTCACATAGTTCAGTTCATATCTGATTTTCTGGATTTTTAGGTTTAGTTTCGTGGATCCATTCAGGTTTTGTATATTGTTGGATTTAAATATTTTTTTATAATGGATAAAAACCATTTTGAATTCATGAGATTCAATTAATAATATTTTTGGTTATGGATTTTACGGAGAATCAAAATAAACATAAATCATATATCTAAGATAATTATTTAGATGTTAAATACTTATTTCATACACTAATTTCATATTTGAATCGAATTTTAGAATACTAGTTCTGAAGTAGGTTAGGTTTGGATATCCAAAATACCCAAAAATATCTTATATAATTCATTCAGAAAATTTTCCACCTAAGATTTGTACAAATTTTGTGTAGATCGATGATTAGTGGTGAAGTGTTTGCAAACACAGTAATGGACAGTAATGGAGTATATGGATTTCTTATTTTTCAGTATCACCTCTTTGTTTTCTATTGCATAAACTGTAGATAAACTAGAATCATGAGTTTTTTTTTTGAAATAATTTTTGACGAATCCAAACACTTCTCAGTCAAACTAAGCCATATTTCAGATCTGCCTATGCAGGATTAATATGTCGGCTCTACCCCGAACAAGACCAATCGAGTCAGGTTTACTCTGAATGTGAGCCCTCCTCATAGTCGGGTTTGGATTTGATGACCTAGAATCATGAAGTATTTTTGAGAAATTAAAAGTTAATTGGAACATCATGATAGCTTCATATATCCCAAATTTAAAGAAAATATTTGGAAGCATCATGCGTCATATATTCCTCTTGAGTATGTCTCAAAGCATGATAACTACTGGATCTTTCTCATGTATCCGACACATGTTCAGAGAAGGCCAGAGCAGTTAATACACAATAGTGTGTTTTTTGTTTATGTTTCTTTTATTCTTTTTGTTTCTTAATCGATTTCATAATTTGTTAATGTATAATTTTTTGGCAGAGAGTGATTCAGTCTTTTCTTTTTCTTCAAGTCTAAACTTTGGATAAATTCTTTTGTTGCTTTAGTGGGTCATGAATCAAAGTTTCAGGTGTGTGGATTTATTCTTTTACTTGTACCTCATCTGGTCAATCATTATCATCAACTTAGATATCACCAACTTCATTTGGGAGGACGTACATATTTTTGTTGACATTTAAATATGCATTATTCTATTATGTTTTCCTTTTAATTATTCATTTGTGTGGTTTAATTGGCAGAAATATGGTATAGTCTTGTACATATATCAGTATCTCTTGCGAACCAATGATTCTTCTCTATAGTCATTGAAGAGTACAAATTTCAGTGGAGTTATAGTTTCAATGCTTGGATGTTCCTCAAATCTATTTTTCAAATATTCATATCACAAAAAACAAGAGTTATTATGATTATTTTTATAACATTTTTCAAATCAGAATTGGAACATGAAGTTTTGATACAACACAAATCACAAGCCAAACCAAGATTATAAAAGAAAGATCAGATTTTGGAACCAAGTAAAGTGAGAAGGAAGTCCTTGTAGTCACCAGAAACATCACCAATGATAGCGTTATCCATGCTTGAATTATACATATTGAAATACTCTCCTCTTACTTTCATCAAATCAATCTCTGCTCGAGTCACAATCGCTCTCGTCAACGAATCTTCATCTGTTCCAAACCCCTCAATAGAATCTCTTACAACCTGCAAGAAGAACATAGTTAAACACCTTTCTTGTCTTCCTTGATCATTATGCTATTTGAGTCAATGTCTGCTCAAATGTTTTTAGTACCTTTGCAAAGTGTTTCTCAGGGAACTCAAGGCAAAAGATTACCATCTGCAATAGACTTCTCAGATCAGAATCTCCTGGACATCCATCAACATCCTGTCCATAATAACAACAATCATGAATTATTCCATCAAAATAGAAAAATAAAAGGTCAAAAGCTAAACAAAGATCTTTAACCTTATCTATTGTGTTCCCATAACTCTGCTTGTAAGCAACAAAAGTTGCTCTGAGCTGGTAGATACTGCGAGTTGCTAATATGTAAAGTACATGATCATGATCTAGTTGCTTCTTTGTTATGGCTTCATGTAGCATACCCGCCTCTATTTTAGCTACTTCTCTATCAACCTTCTCTTTGTCATATCTGAATGAAGTTGCTAATGTCACCAGCAACTGTACCATAAAGGTGAATATTAGACTTTAACTTCTTATGAGACAGCTAAACGACAAAAAAAAAAGAATAAGAAAAGACCTTTGCAAGAGGAAAGGGAACAGAGGAAGCAATGTGTTCTTCAAGAGATGAGTCATAGAGAGAACAATAAGCTTTCCTCACAGCAATCAAATGGTTAGGAGAAGCTGTGCAAGAGATCTCCACGATGATCTTCAGCTTCTCTATGGTTTTCTTTTTCTCATTCAAGACCTTGTAAGCAAGCCTTGCGTCTCTCTCTGCTGGATCTTTCGTCCACAGAATCACAGCTTTCTGTTGAAAATGTTTTCATGTTATAGAAGAGAGACACAAGTCTTTAAACTCAATGGCTCTTGAATGTTTTAGTACCTTGAAATCACCAGATAGTTCAGAGGAGAGATCATCGATAAGATCTTTGCCATAAATCTCTTTATAACTCTCCCTGATTCTCTTTCTCTGGCTCTCGTTTCTTTTCCCTAAAACTCTTATGACAGCCTTCTCGTCTGTTCCCCATCCTACAACGACAAGAACACGGTTCCAGTTTCAAGAAGAGAACCATACAAATGAGTGTAACGTACCGCGAAAAGCTTTATTGAGAGTTTCAGAATCCTGAGCTGGAGAAGGGATTTCGTCTGGGACTCTAATGGTCGCCATTTGAGAGATGTGTTACTCTGTTCTCCGAAGCGTGTGCTTGTTCTTCTTCTCTCTCTCTACCTTGTAACTTCTTTTTCTCTCTCTCTCTTGTTACGTTTTAACTCTTGTTTAAGTGTAATTGTGTTGTAACAAGAGAATCTTATTGACGAAAATGCCCCCTAAGATGTTACTGTAATAATCTTTTTTTTGGTCGGAACTGTAATGACTTATTTTGGAGGATTTTGAATGGAAGGGACCACTGTTAGTTACAGAATAGTCACTCTTTTCACAAAATATTTTCACAATTTATCAAGTGAGCATTTTCAATGTATTATATTTTTATCTTAAAATATTTAATTTTAAATAGAATTAAAATTTACTTTAAGCATATATCATTTTATTCCAAATTATAAAAATATAGTTACTTTATCTTTATTAATCTCATATTACATTCCATTATGAAATAAAGTAAAATTTAACAAATATTTTAAAATATAAGATTAGAGATGTTTATCATTTAACCGAAGAGCTCTTTTGAAAAGCTCTTTTTGCACTAACCCAAAAGTTTCTTAATTGATTAAGATAATGTTTCAATTTTTTTTAATTAATGTAAAATTTTTTAAATATTTCTGAAATTAAATGAAAGTGTTTGCAGATTCCTCAAAATTAAAATCACACCACACCAAACTTGTATATAATATGGTGTTAATTTTCTTATTACATTGTGTGAACAAAACACGATTCAGATGTATTGTTTTTCTCTAAATTGTGTTGCAGTCAACAACATGTAGCTGTGTGACATATGCGTTATGCGTATATGTAAAAATAGATTTAAGACGATGGAAAATGACCGAATCTTATGAGTTATGACTGACGAACTAGTTTAACCAAATAAAATAAAAGAGATAGCGATATGCAAATCATATATGCCTCAAGATAGACACAGCTGTCCCCTCTAAATTATTGTCAGTCGTCTCTTCGTGTAAAACGTGATCTCGTTTATGGGCACAGTCTGAACAAAACACCCTGTCATAGAATCATCATACACAATAATGCATAGCTCTTTAATTAGATATTAATTGGTTTACCAAATTTTTTGTTGTTAAAGGGACACATGCAGCCATGCAGGTATGACATAAAACGTGGTTGTACAACCACCGATGACAGACATTCAGCAACAACTTTTTTAAAAAATACCATGTGATGCTTGTTGGAGTATATTGTTAAACTAATCACTTATCGTTCTTACACTATCGCGAAGGAAACGTGATAGAGGCTTCTCATCTACTCTTTTAAATTGGTTACGTACATGATTTCTTTTTTTTTTTTCTTTTTTATCTTTGAATAATAATTTCTAGTCTTCTTTTGCATGATTTATATAAATGGACAGGCTGGGACATAATGAGAATGCATAAAACTTTTGTTAAAGAATGCATTAGTTTAAGAGAAGAAAAGATTCTATGCTTAGACATGATTTTGAAACCCTTTTTATATCTGTAGTAAACATTTTTTTCATTGTAGTTATCATCTAATATTCGTTTAAGATTGAGTGAGGTCGCATTTAGTTGACTTTTTTACTAGTTTTCTATTGATTATCTGAGATTCGACTTATTCAAAACCACATGGCTCTTTACCTTATGGATCTTATCCTGAGTCATCTGCCAGAGTACCAGTGCATGTGCATGTGTAACCTTGGCTCACTTTGATTTGCTTTCGCTACAAGTTTCCTAATACAAAATATAGACCACATCAATCATAGTGTATTTTAGCGTTTTATAATAATGTAATCAGAGCCGGTCCTAGGAAATCAAGAGGCCAGAAGCAAATTAAAAATAAATTGGCCTCCCGTCTGAGTCGAAGTCGGGTTGGGCACAAAGAGTCTGATGACTTCAGATGTAGTCACTAGACCAAAGGAGAGTTGTAAGAAAAGGTGGCAGAAATTGTATTTATAATAATTTTTGCTGGAAGTCACTGCTTTATGGGTTGTGCCAAGGGCCGGCTCTGAATGTTACTATGTCATAAATCATAATAAGAACACAGTTTAGTATAACAGAAGTTGTGACAAAATAAAAATACATTTGAAAACTGTTAACCTCTTCTTTCCTGGAACCCGTTTTGTATTGTAGATATGATCATATACTAAAATGCAGTTTATATAATGGTCAAACTGAATAAAGTCCAGTTTAAAAAAAAACGTTGTAAAAAAAAAAACAGTAAGTTTTCATTTGTCTTGGACTAGTGTAATTCATCCTTTCCATATGAAACAGTTGTTAGAAAATGCAATAAATCTTGTGGGGGTTACTTCTTGGTACAACAATGACTCGCGTTTGTCTTAAATCTGAACACAAACTTTTAGACTAAATGAATAACTTTTGATATACCTAAAATATCCTTGTCTCCCTCCGTAAACCACAACATGACCCTTAATAATCAGCATCATATAAAATGACTTGTCTCTCTTCTTTAGCCTTCCACATTAACCAAAGCAAAGCAGAAACAAACAAGAACTCCAAAGCAAGAAAAATGGCTCATACTCTCGATCTTGAAGGCATCACCAAAGCAATCGCAGGTAACTATGAAAAACCAGTTATAGTACAATGATATACTGTACTGAGAATGATTTCGAGATCAACTATTTGAAACCATTAAACAAAAACTTGTAGGAATGGGAGTTGATGAGGGAGCATTGATAAGTACTCTGGGAAACTCGCACAAGGATCACCGCAAGTTGTTTAGGAAAGCAAGCAAGAGTTTCTTTGTGGAAGATGAAGAAAGAGCTTTTGAGAAATGCCATGATCACTTTGTCAAGCATCTCAAGCTTGAGTTCTCTCGTTTCACTGTCAGTTGTCATTCCTTCTTTTATTTTCTGGCTTTTCTATTTATCTATCTGTATAAATATATTATTACTATCTATTATATATTTTTTACCTTTTTGGCAAAAAAAAATTACCATCTAAATCTATGTAGTTGATTTTTTACTGTTTCTACTAGTTTGTACCCAATAAAAAATCAGTTATTTTCTTAACCTAATAAAAGTACAAAAACATATATTTCAGTTTTAATAAAAACTAAAATGAAACTAATTAATAATTAATAGGCTATCCTCTGTATAGATAGATTGTCTGTTTATGTCATTTGTAGTGTGTGATTTGTTAGAATCTTAGAGAATTTAGCCCTATAGTCTCAAGAACGTTGATCAAATACTCTATGCCATGTTGTTATATAGTGTTTGTTCATTCATATTCCTGAGGATCCTAAAGTGAACCCAGTGAATTTATACTTGATGGAAATAATGAAAGTTTTGTCTGTGATGTGTGTAGAATGCGGTGGTGATGTGGTCGATGCATCCATGGGAGAGAGACGCTAGGTTGGTGAAGAAAGCACTTAAGAAAGGAGATGAAGCTTACAACCTCATCGTGGAGGTGTCGTCATGCACTCGCTCCTCTGAAGATCTCCTAGGCGCACGCAAGGCTTATCACTCTCTTTTTGACCAGTCGATGGAAGAAGACATTGCCTCTCACGTCCACGGCTCTCAACGCAAGGTCAGTACTTTCTTACTTACCTTACACAGTTACAATACACCGATCTCTTCTCACTCACTGTCTCTCTGTGTGTTGTGTAGCTGCTTGTGGGGCTAGTGAGTGCTTATAGATACGAAGGGGATAAGGTGAAGGAAGATTCAGCCAAATTCGATGCTAAAATTTTGGCCGAGGCATTGGCTTCATCAGGAGAGAGAGCCATAGAGCATGATGAGGTTGTTAGGATTCTGAGCACAAGAAGCAAACTCTATCTCCAACATCTTTACAAGCATTTTAACCAGATCAATGGCTCTGATCTTCTTAGGGTATATAACATATGACAACTCACTTCTTAATTATATATAAACCTAGGGGATTTTTTGATTATTATGTTTTAATTTTTTTTTCTAATGAGATCAAGAAAATCTTGTGGTTTTGATCATCAGGGTGTATCTGAGTCTTCACTCATCAATGAAGCATTGCTTTGTTTGCTCAAACCCTCTGTGTATTTCAGCAAGGTAATAATAGTACTAAATGAACTTATATGATAACATATACTATCATGTATAAAGTTTTCATGTCCTAACAAAGTCTCTTGTCTTTGGTTGTAGATTGTGAATGCGTCTTTGAACAAAGATGCGGACAAGGGTACAAAGAAATGGTTGACAAGAGTGTTTGTTACGAGAGCAGATCATAATGACATGAAGGAGATAGCAGAAGAGTATAATCAGCTTTACGGAGAGCCTTTGGCCCAAACAATTCAAGAGAAGATTAAAGGGAACTACAAAGATTTCTTGCTCACACTACTATCCAAATCAAATTGATTTTGGTTATGAACTTATTGCCAAGACTTGTGGTTATTGAACATTTGAATTCCTTTCGGTTTTATGTTTCTATTCCAACATTTGCATTTGATATACCCTTTATCCTATCTGATAATTAATAAAAGAGTTCTTGTCTCTGGTGTGTCATGTTAAACTTATAGTTCCATGTCTTGGTCACAGTTCCAGTATCTGAACACTTTACTACTTTATGTTTTTAACTAATAATGTAAACTCGAACATCTAATTTATTAAAACAGGATCATCCTTATTATTTACCCCTAATACTACGCCACTTGACCTACATAAAAATATAAAGCAAATCAAGCAAATTGATTTAACGTAAATACCTTCTATTAATCAACATATGTTTTGTAACTTCCTGTCCACGATTTTCGGTACCACTTCTTTCTCAGATGACTTCGTGTACTACAATACCAACATTTATATATAATAACAGTTATTCTTTCCTTTTTGATTTATACCAAATGCATATTGCTAAAATGCTAAAATTATGATTACAATATGTTACATACTATTCTATTACGTTTACTCTTTTTGTAAGTATTCCACCAAAATTATTTTTATGTTATTTAATAATCTAGGTGGACATTTAATGGGTTTTAAATGGATTTTTAATTGAAATAAATATTCATTCAAATTCATATAGTTTTGTGATAAAAAAACATTTAGTTTAACATGTTTTAAATGGTTTATTTTTCTAACACTTATTTATTAAGTGGGACTTTACTTAATTATTAACTGATTTTAAATTATTGAAGATCTTATTAACTCGTTTACATAAATATTAGATTCTGATCCGTTTTTTTTTTAAGAAGGATACATTTTTGTCATAATTGTTTTTAAGAAATTTAAAATTTCATAGAAATGATTACAAAAATCAGAGTTACCTGAATATTTTTCAAAACAAAAATATGTCAAAATCTAGTATATAATGAAGTTGGTGGTGGAAAACGAGTGTAGAGATTTCAGTTTCAAAACCGAATGTCGGTATGATTTCCCGGTTAACAGTTTTGGCGTTTTGCGGTAAGGAAATCAAAAGCAGCCACGTGGCGAAGAAAAGTCCGCGAATCTTCCTCAGGCGGACCATTAAAGATCCCATTTCCCCTCTTCACTTTGCCTTCCTTTTCATCGTGTCTCAAAAACCACTACTTTCTTCCAAATTAGTTTCGTTATCTTTCTCAGTTCCATCACAATGAATGGCTTCTCTGATCTTAACCCTTCCGAGAGGTACACTCTAATTCTCCCATCATCTTTTTCATTCAACGATTCTTATGATCTCTGTTGTAGTGTTATGTATATGGTACACTATCTCTAACATCAATGGAGCTTTGCTGCTAAACGTTATTAATATTGTAAATTGCTAATAGTATTGGGTATCGGAATGTTTGGTCCTTTTGATGCAATCTCATAGTAGTTTTGATCTCTGTGTTGTGAAGCAGCAAACCATCGCTCTCACAACTTGCTCCTTTAGAAGCCATTCTCTTTGATGTTGATGGAACTCTCTGTGACTCTGATCCCATCCACCTTATCGCCTTCCAACAACTCCTCCAACAGGTTTAACTCTCCTTCTTCAATCATATCTTCTTCAGGTTTCACATGATTACTTGAAAACCATATCTTGGAACCTTATTACATAACTTCAGTTTTCACATGAATACTTAAAAATCATGTCTTGTAACCTTAATATATAACTTCAGTAGCATGTCTTGGAACCTTATTATATAGCTTCCGTTTTCAAACGAATACCTAAAAAACATGTCATGGAACCTTATTATATAACTTCAGCATGAATACTTAGTGAACATGTCTTGGAATATTATATTACTCACTCTCAAGTTCTTGTGACAAAATGTTGCTGTCTTGTAACATTCACAGATTGGTTTTAACAATGGTGTACCAATCGACGAGAAGTTCTTTATTGAGAACATTGGTGGCAAACACAACTCTGAGATTGCTCTTGCTCTCTTCCCTGATGATGTTGCTAGAGGGTTACAGTTCTGTGAGGAAAAAGAAGCTCTTTACCGCAAGTAAGTCAAGTTTCTCTGTTTTTCTTCTTTATCATTTCACGAAACTTGTCTCATTCTTTTTGAGTTTGTTGATTAGACTTGTAGCAGAGAAGATAAAGCCACTTGACGGGCTTATAAAACTAACCAAATGGATAGAGGAACGTGGACTGAAACGAGCTGCTGTCACAAACGCTCCAAAAGAAAACGCAGAGCTCATGATATCTAAACTTGGTCTGACTGATTTCTTCCAGGCAGTGATTCTTGGTTCTGAATGTGAGTACCCCAAACCACACCCTGGGCCTTACTTGAAGGCTCTTGAAGTGCTTAACGTGTCAAAGGACCACACGTTGGTTTTCGAGGACTCGGTCTCTGGGATAAAAGCTGGAGTTGCAGCTGGAATGCCTGTGGTTGGACTAACTACATGTAATCCAGCAAGCATGCTGATGCAAGCAAAACCGGCTTTTCTGATTGAGAACTATGCGGATCCAAAACTGTGGGCTGTGTTGGACGAACTTGATAACAAGGGGAGTTCTCAAAAGTCCTGAGTGAGTGAGTGAGTTCTCTGTGAGCACCCTCTGAAGTTTTACCTATTTATCTTTGTTGAATATTCTTTTGGGAATATATGACAATGGGAGGTTTCAAATAATTGAAGATGTATGAACATGTTTTGTATGTTTATATTTAGTACTAAGAAAGTGTAGAACTGTGACATCTAAGGTCTTATCAGATCCAAAAGAAATAAAACTAAGTGATGAAGAATAATGATGCAGTCTCAGGGCCTCAGGCTAGTGTTCGACTTCCTCTATTGTCTAAAAAAAACATGCACCTGCTGTGCTGTTGGAGAGTTAATATATAACAAGGTGGGTTACATTGTATTTTAAAAAGTTAAAAGATCGATTTGCAAATAAAAAGAAAGTCGGAGGGCTTCTGTTACAATTTTCACAATTTAAAATTCAAAGCCCAAGTAGGTTTCGAAGCTAAAAGCCTAAAAGGCCGAAACAGTAGACTCGGAGAACTGATCGATCATAAAAGCAGAGACAGAGGAGTAATAAAGGAGAAAGAAAGTGTATCTTCTTTTATTCGAAGTCGAGAGAAGTAACCATTCGAGTTCTGATGAGTACCGGAGCTGGAATCGTGGGTGCACCAACAGCAGCAGCTCTTTCAAGCGGCGGCGGGAACGTGGAGTGGCACGTCAGACCACCGAACCCTAAGAACCCTGTCGTCTTCTTCGACGTCTCTATCGGTGGAATCCCCGCCGGTCGCATCAAGATGGAGCTTTTCGCCGACATTGTCCCCAAAACAGCTGAAAACTTCAGGCAGTTCTCTACTGGGGAACTCAGGTTGTTCTCACCTTAAAGGCTTTCAATCTTGCATCTTGTTTTGTCTAAATTTAAAAACTTTCAAGCGTGTTTTTTTGGCTTCAGAGAGATAAAGTCTTGCACTTGTTACGTCTTTCATGCTTTAGTATTGTTTTCTTGCACCTTTAGATCAAATTGTTTTAGACTAGTTGAGCGAGTTGACTCTGAATCTTCTTTGATTGGCTTTGGTGTAATAAAATTGCAGAAAAGCTGGAAAGCCTCTGGGTTACAAAGAATGTCAGTTTCAGAGGGTCATCAAGGATTTTATGATTCAAAGTGGTGATTTTCTTAAGGTCAGTGAGTACCCTTCACATCTAATCAAGGCCTCTCCTTCTTGTTTCTTGTTTTTTAAGTAGTAATCTAGTTGGTTTTTGTACTGGCACACTTGCTTCTATTGTTTTTGTCCTTGGTTTGTTTCTTCTCTTTTTATTATATGCTCAATGTGGTAAACTATTGCAGAATGATGGTAGTGGATGCATGTCGATTTACGGCCACAAGTTCGATGATGAGAATTTCACTGCTAAACATACTGGACCTGGACTTCTCTCCATGGTATGCTATTGGCTTTCTGAATTGGATTATGAACTTGTGTACTTCCTTTCAGTACAGTGAATATGTTGAATCAGTCCCCTCTTAATTGTTCTTTTTTCATGTTATGGCTCTTTTTACTTTGTTGTAGGCAAATAGTGGACCAGACTCAAATGGGTGTCAGGTAATCTCAGTCTCATTATATTGTAACAAATATGCGCATAATGGAAGCATTGAGTTTTCGATGCCTTATGTTTTGGCTATGGTGGTAAACTAATATATGTTGTAAAAGAAGTAAAGATGTTTTAGTTAGTAGCTGGTTGGGCATATAAAAATTATCATTTAGGCTATAATTACCTTTGCTTTTGCAGTTCTTCATCAGCTGTTCAAAATGCGACTGGCTTGACAACAAGCATGTTGTATTTGGGGTATGTCCTATTTTCACATACTCGCATTGCATGATTGGACCATGAAGCTTTTCAACTTTCTTCCATTAATTATTGGTTCTCCCTTTGTGATTATATCTGAGATTTGTCTTAAAAGGAAAAACTTAGCAGCCATAGATAGTTGAGTCTGTCATGAACCCTTATGCGCATTATCGGTTATAGTATTGTTATGACTCATTACAAATTCTTCTTTTTCAATGTACAGAGAGTGCTTGGAGATGGTTTATTGGTGGTACGCAAGATTGAGAACGTGGCTGTTGGACCAAACAACCGGCCTAAACTTGCTGTTGTAATTACAGAGTGTGGGGAGATGTGAAATCATTTAGCCATAAATTTTCTCACCCAAAACATAAGAACTTTCTGCTGAAGGAGGAATGTATTGAGCGCCCAAAGCTTATTATTAGCTGTAAACCTTACGCATTGTGACAGGAACTAAATCCCAATATGGGTTTTTGAAAAATTGTCCTTTAGTTTTTCACTTGGTTGACGTCATTTCGATAATCAAAGCAAAGCCTTGTGTAAACTTTTGGTTAGGAGATCAACAACTTGGGAGTGAAATGAGTCGCTTTATATCATGGCTACTAATATCTGTAAAACTTCGTAACCAAAAGTATAAACCAAAAGAGAAACAGAAAACAAGTCTAACCTCATAACGTAGGCTGTTAGAGTCATTTATCTGAATCTCCAAGGGTGTTTACTATGGGACATACTTTCTTCACTTCTGTAATTCTTTTAGAGTGATTTACATAATTAGACACTTTTGTGTCTTTTCTTACTCAACATCTCTTGCTGCAGTAGAATAAATAAAGCCAGAACTGAATGTGTTGTCAACATCTGGGGCTGCAGAAGCTGAAACAAAGTAGAGAAATGAACATAAGCGGATCAAAGATAATGATAAAAGGCATAAGCTGCAAAACTGAAACAAATGTTGTCCACACTGACCATATCCACACTAACCACATTCACACAACAACTGTCCACATTCTATTCGTCTTAAGCTATGCTCAAAACCGTCAAAGCAGCACCAACAATAGCTAATGGTCTTGTAATCAAATCAAGACCTGAGTCAACACAAAAACATATGTTAACAAGCTGAACAAGATCTTAAAATTAAATAAATAAAAAAAGAGGATTTTTTTTCAATAACCCAGAACGAGTTTCTTTTATCGGGTGACCATAGTTCCGGTGACGAAAGTTCAGATCTTGGGGAAGATGAGTTTGAATTTCAACTTCAAGTTAGAGGAAACACCATATGAGAAAGCAATTTTGGGCATTATAGTGGTGGTTGTGGAGACAGAAAACATGAAATTGGTTTTCCTCTTCGTGCCTCTAAAAGTTTGTTGCAGGTGGTGTGGTATGAATGGTGGAGGTGTGGACAGGGTGTGTGTGGACGGTGGAGGTGTGGGATCCAGAAAGTTTGGATTGTCGGCGCAAGTAGCTTCAGTCGCAACATCAGCACAAGCTGCAACAATAACTTTCTTCCATGTGTTGCGCCTAGCTCTTCTTAGATGATGATCCCAATATATGTCTTGCCATCTGAATCCTCAAATCTCCTCCTACGACAAGCATATGTGATTTTTTTGTGAGACAGTAAAACCAGTAACAGTAGATAGATCTGATCCAGAACTCACCAAGAGCCGAGAACCAGTAAATCAAACCTAGAGGATGATCACGAAGGAAGAAGGATCAACCCGAAGAACATAGATTCAATGATGCATGATGATGAATAGAGAGATTTTAGGATTTAGAAGATAACAAGGTGTTTTGCCCGCACGTGCGGGCTTAATTTTTTTAATCAATTAAAAATCATCAAAATAAATGATTATTTGCATCAAAAAAATTTGACTTAAAACATTAATTTTTTTTACATGATAAAGTTATTCACAAATTAAAAAAAAAAATCTATTTTTATCTCTAAAACTTTGAAAAATATGAAGTCTATTTCATTTTTTCTTAATTGATATAAAAAATAGAAATCTATCTTTCAATTTGAAAAATTGAATCGATAAATATACATTCAAAAATTGATCTTACAGAAAGAATAATATTAGTTTGGATAATAATACAATATATTTAAATTTATTTTTGTCAAAAACATATTTTCTTTCATTTTGAATGATCTTTTATTTTATTATGATTAATTCATGTTTAAGGTTTAATTATATAAAAAAAAAAAAAATTAATTTAACATGTGAGTTCAGAGGTGAAAAATAACTTCACAAATATACACCATTATATTATATTATTATATTCTTTTAATTTGAAAATAATTACGTATTATCATATTTTCAATTTTCAATTATATACAATTAAAAATTTTACATTATGTATATTTATTTATGTGGTTTCTGTTTTTGAATTTCTTTTATTAAAATATATTTTCCGGATAACAACATAATATATATAGGAATTATCTTTTTTATTTTTAAATATATATTAAAATTACGGATAATTCTTATCATTAATAAATAAGGTTTAATTATATAAAATATAAAAATAAATTGAATTTAACGTGTGAGTTCAGAGGTGAAAAATAACTTCACAAATATACATCATTATATTATATTATTATATTCTTTTAATTTGAAAATAATTACTTATTATCATATTTTCAATTTTCTCTTTTCAATTATATATAATTAAAAATTTTACTTTATGAATATTTATTTATGTGTTTTCTGTTTTTGAATTTCTTTTATTAAAATATATTTTCCGGATAACAACATAATATATATAGGAATTGTCTTTTTATTTTTAAATATATATTAAAATTATAGATAATTCTTATCATTAGTAAATATTTAAATCATTTATCTAATCAAATAAATATTAAATTCGTTTTTTATTTTTGGCTGATTTATATATTTTATTCATTAAAGGTATAAACGATATTAACCACTCCAACTTTCAACGTGAGAGCTCGGTTGCGAAAAATCACTTCGCAAATAATAGTATAGATATTTGTGTTTGATTAATTCTCGCGTAAATGAGAAAGAGATTACATATAGTGTTTACTAAACCAAAAAATTAAACCATAAAGCTAAACCAAAGATAAAATAATTAAACCAAAGACTTAACTAATTTATCCTGTCACACTTTGGTGCAAAATTGGTTTCATATAAGTTACCAGATCTCTCAAGATCGAAGCCTTGACGATGAATTGGAGAGTTCTTAGAGTCAATTGATGTTGCAGAAAACGAAGAGATCGAGAATGAGAGAGAATAAATTTTGAGAAAGTGATGTCTATATTTTGTATTTTAATTTATTTGTTTTTAAAACAAAATAATTAGTTTCTGATTGATGGAGTAATGAGGGGTAAATGTAATTGAAAGATATATTTGACAAATCACACGTAGAAAATGTGTAACAAGCAAAAATTTGACAAACCATGTGTAAGAAGCAGGAAGTGTCTTTCTATATTTTTACAAAGACAAAAAGTGTTTTAGAATGTAAAAAATTCATTCTGTTATGTTCCTTATCTGAACCATAAAGAACCGAGACACCGGATAAATTTGACAGTATAGTTTGTTAAGCATGAATAGGGAGTTTGATGTTTGACTTCTCACTTCCACTTAAGTAATATTTTTATTTATTTTAAAAGGCTTTATAGGGTATGTTTTTCAAAAAAAAGCGCAAAAGGTATAATCATAAAAATAGCCTAAAAAAAGAAAGGGGCTAAATAATATTTATTAAGGAATGAAAATAATAACTTACGAAAATTTAGAATTGCTTTTGATTTCTAGTATTGACAACTTTAGAGATTTTTTACGAAAGTTATTTTTTTGTCTGCGGTTTCTGTCTTTTTTTTGTAACAAAACTGGCGAAGAGAGAGATGGCAGTCTACTGTTTCGACACTTTGGTCTCTCACTACAGCAACGATGACACTCCTCCACCTGCCTTTGACGATGCCAGTCAGTTACTTTCTTTTCAACTCTTTTCTTTTTGTTTGTTTGGTATGTCGTGACATGCAAGTTCTGACTCTTTCGCAAGTATTTGTTTGTGAAAGTTTTTCTCTTTTTACTAAAGCATCAATCAATCTCCCACTTGACTTAGCTCTAGTTCTGTTCTGAACACTCTTAAGGCAGAAACGCTCGTCATCTCCCCGGTCTTGCATGCCGGATTTTGTGTTCTATAGTGAAACACTTGATCTTTCCCATACTCCATAGTCTAGTGTTTCTTTATTTTCTTGTAGTCCATTGTTTGTCACGTGGAATAAAATAGTGAATGATGGGGAACCTCGACTGCGTGGATGCATTGGTACACTGGAAGCATCAAGCATGCCGCTTGATCAGTAGCTTCAAGGACTATGCCTTGACCAGGTATCTTAGGGCATCATTAATTAAGAAACTTTTGGCTTCGGTTTCCGTAAAGTCCTTAACATATAATTATATACGCTTATACAATGTATACATATACATATATGTGTATTAAGGACTTTACCTTAAGAACCTTGCAATAATGATGCCCTTAGTGTCCATCAATAAGAACCCTTAGGGTTCTAATCTATAAATTATTAATTAGTAATATATATAGTGATTTGACATGTTTAGAATTTTTGTTTATGTAATTTTAATTTTTTCCGTCCAATGGTAGAATTTTATTGAGGTTCTTAATTTTTTTTTAAAGTAAAATAATTGAATTTTATATTATAAAAAACATACATAAGAGATAAAAAGGATGAATTCAAGAGAAATTAGAGTAATTGTAATTAGGGGTATTTTAATGGATTTGATTCGCTTCTTTAAAAGATAAAAAGGATTTCATAGAATTGTTTGTAATACATATTGATTCTTGTGATGGGTTTTAGTGGAGTTATTGTAACTCCAAATCAACAATGAGAATAAAAATGCTACGAAGTAGCTGAATAAAACGAACTTGGTCAAGATAAACACTCCACAATTATGTTTAGCTTTTATTCTTCTTCACAAATATTTACGGTCCTCAATATCAGCCAAAGTATGTATGAACGCCATATCCCAGAGAGTTTTCTTCAGAAGGTGGATGTGCCTTGACAACATAGCTATTCGTAAATAAGAACTCTTTATCCCAAGCCACCAAGCCATATACGTCGCATTTCCTCGTCCTGAAAATACCGCAGATAGTAAGCTCAGTTGCATACCACAGAAGCTAGAGAACATAAGGTTTTTATAAAATCAACATTATGTAACTGGAGAGTTACATCAACAGAAGCAAGCAAGAAACAGTTCTGATAAATATGAAGGAAGACACATAATCACCATCGTGAAGAGAAAACCTTCAAAGTATGAGGTTGAGAATAGACAAACGACTTAAACACAACTCCATGAAGACAACTATAATCATCAGGCACATGCTTAGACCAAAACATACACAACAAGATATCAATTTTAGTTGTCTGTGAACATGAAAAGAGATGAACCTTTGGTTTCAAGATGCTGATTATTGCTTATGTTACTGAAGTGAAACTTGTTTACATGTCACAAATACAAAAGCAGACTAATCAAGATGTCACTAACTAATCTATCTATTCTATTAAAACACAAGTTTGACCTATTGATATTAGTTGTGTCCAACAATTAAATCAACAAA